AAATGGTCAGGGGCTGCTTTGGAAACCACAGCAAAGCCTTGTGGAGGCAGATGTTGAATAAGGAAAAGCAAATTCTCTGTTAATGCCCAGCTCTGCTCCACGGGGACGTGCCCATGGATCACACAAGAGCACATCCCCCATCCATCCATCCATCCATCCATCCATCCATCCATCCATCCATCCATCCATCCATCCACAGCAACAAAACTCCCTCCTTTCCTCTGGAGGCCACTCAGGTGCTCAGAAATTCCTGGAGAATTCAAGTCCCTAACACATTTAGGGTGGGAGCAGAATACACCTGGAATGTTCCTGGAGCCTATTCTGGGATATCCCTGCTCCTGACTCTGTTAGGGACCCCTTTGGGATATCCCAGTCTGCCTTTACACACTGATGTGTCACCAGAACATGCTCAGAAAGGGCCTTTTTGCACCATTTTTGGCAATTCCATGCATGGAGTTTGTTCCTCTTGGGGCATGTCCACAATAATTGTAATGGAGATTAAACATATTCCAAGTGAACAGGAATTACACCCAAGTAGGGATATTTGTGCCTACACACAGGTGAGAAAGGAAAAACTCTGCAATCCCTTCAAACCAAGGTAGAAGCTTTTAACTTTAGAAGTGCTGATAACACCTGGGCCACAAAAGGATTTGTTGGAAGCTTGGGAAGCAAAACCTGCCTGTCTGTGATCCAAGGGTGGTGAAGGTGCAGCTCCCAAGCACAGGGAGGAGGGTAACAGAGAAAGGGAAAGGTGCAGTGAGACACCCAAACATCCCAAGGGGAACTCAGGATGCTCTGAGGGACCACGGGGCAATTGAGAGCTGCAGCACCAGCGTTAGGGCAGAGAGGGATCTTCTCCCTGGGCCAGGCAATTCCTGGGAAGGGGAATTAGCTCAGCATCCCTCAGAGCCACCAGGCAGCATCACCACACTCCTGCAGCAGTCCTGCACCTGCACTGCACCCAGGGGAGGGACACCAAAGACACAGCTACAGGGAAATGCCTGAAAACGTGTCCAGTGGCACATCCACTGAATTTCATCTGAATTTCACCAGAGCACAGCTCCAGCAGGTCCATGCCCAGCTCCCTCCAAACAGGACCCACAGATTGCCGATGGAATTTGCAGCTCATCCCTTTAGCCCCAGGGCTGCCAGCCCAGCCCCTAAGCTGCTCTTGCTGCCTCCCAGCAGGACACATGAATTGTCCCCAGGCAGGGGGACACTCCTGCTCTCATGTGATGTTTATTTATTCGTTGAGAGGATCCCAGGGATTTTTTCTTTAGCTGCTTCAGCCCTGCAGCTGGCCCAGGGCCAGGGGAGCATCACTCAACTCCTGGGCAGTGAGCAGGGACCTTGCTGTGCTACACTCACACATCCACTTGCTGTGGCAGCTCAGGCAAGAAAGGCCCTGCAAACTGAAGAGAAAGAACTCTGCCCAGAAAGTTCTTCCTGCCATACAAAGCTCAGGACAGAGCCAGTAAAAAAAGCAGATGACAGGCACAGAGTGAGGCCAAGGGACTGCTCACATCCAACAGCTGAGCCCAATTCCTCCCCAGTGAGGCCAAAGAACAAATTCTGCATTGGAGCCTTTCTGTTACCCTGCCCTGGTTTCAATGACAAAATTCCTGCTGGCTGAGAGATCAACCAACATTAGCTCCCAGTGACCAACTACACCCAGCACAACCACACTGGGGCAACAATTCTCAAAACCAGCTGCAAACCTAAGGCTGGAAGACTCAGCTTGGTGAAGGCTCCACATTTTTTAGTTTTTCTCCTAAGAGATGAGCTCAAATGTTGCAAGCAGAAGAATGCAGCCTTAGTTCAAGCAGAACAGTGCCTGTGTGGCTTATCTAGTTATAACATGGGATGTGCTGGTAGGCAGGGGCTTGGGGAAATGCCAAGAGGAGCCACAGCACCAGGCCTTGTGCTGGTTCTGGGTCTCAAGGAGGGAACTGTCTCTCTGTGAAATGTGATGGGGTGGCAGCAGGGGGAAGAACAGACCTTTCTGAAATGAATTAATGGGGAAGAACAGCTCTCCCCTTCCCAAGTGCATGCAGGAAGGCAGGGGGAGGAAGGGAGGAGCTCTGCAGCCCAACCACCATTGTATTTACATTTCCGTGCTCTGATAACAAACACATTCAAGGGTGCCTGGAAAACAAGGCTTTGGTTAGAAAACAAAAGCTGAGATTTGAAAGAAAGGGCAATAAAAGACTTTGCAGGTGTCCCTGCAGCGTTATCAGCCATGGTGGGCTGGTTTCTTTGGAGAATTATTCACTTTTTTATCACAGCTGCAGCTGCAGTGTCCAGTGCCACACTGAGGTGCCCTTGGACATAGCAATTCCCTTCCAAAAGGGGAAAAAGAGGAGACTAAATAAATAACTATTCAGTGTAGAACTGAAAAAAAAAACAAACCAAAACAAAAAACATTTGATTTTAAATAAGGGCGCTTCCCACATCACTTCAAGAAAGTAAAACCTTAAGTGGTAAAGTGACCCAGAATCCTCAAATCCCTGAATGGTTTGGGTTGGAGGGACCTTAAATCCCACCCAGTGCCACCCCTGCCGTGGCAGGGACACCTCCCACTGTCCCAGGCTGCTCCAACCCCAATGTCCAACCTGGCCTTGGACACTGCCAGGGATCCAGGGGCAGCCACAGCTCTCCTGGACACTGCCAGGGCCTCAAACCCAATAAAACTGACCCTAAAAATGTGGGTTTGTGGATGTTTCTTCCCAGTTAGAGCCACTGCACAATAAAATATAAATTTATCCAGCAGGTAACGTTTTCAGAAGTGTTTTCTCCCCACCTGTACACGTGGAACCAACACAAGAACCAGAAATGAAGATCCAGGTGCCACCAATCATGGTCAGTGTCAGCATTTTAAGAGAGATGACCAAAATTCCCCTGGACTTGGCTGGAAGAACTCCTAATGGACTGAGCAGGAGGAACTCAGGGTATTCCTGAGGGACAATCTGAGATAAGAGGTTTATAAAGAACCCAAAATATTCCTCAGGCAGTGCCCGACTTCCCCCCAAGGTTCTCCTCCTTCCTGCCTGCTCTCCCAACTTCCCAGAGGATGTGGGGGAGGAAGCTGCTGCTATTCATGCCCCAGTCAATGAGCCTGCAGTAAATATTCCCAGATAAATTACTCCAGGAAACTTTTGGGCTGCTCAGTGCAGGCTGTGGGAAACACCTGCTTGGTTGAGCATGTCCTGAAACCATGAAAAAAGGAATGGGGAGAGCTACAGGGATGCTGGGACTCCAGCAGGCAGAATCTGCCTGCTGGAGTCCCAGCATCCCTGTAGCTCTCCCCATGGGAGTCATGGAATTTCAATCCCTAAGTCTAAACTGAATCCAGACATCCCCAGGAGCCTGGCAGACTTTCCAGATCACACTGAGCCAAGCCAGGAGTGGTAGAAAAGAACCAAAATAAAACCCACTCAAGAGTGGAAGGTGAAGGAAGGAAAACTCAAAGCCCTGGGACCAAGAGCAGGAGTTGGGAATGCCCCATGGAGCAAAGGGAGCATCTTCCAATCATTCCAGGAACAGGGACACAGGAGCATCAGCCCCACTGAAAATAAACAATTCTGCACCTCTGGTGTTCTCTCTGCAGCTGGCATTTTAAGGGCACTGAAAACAAAAGGATTTTATCCCATAAATAGGTTTTAGGAGCCTTGTGAGGCTCCTGTCACCTGCAGGCAGCCCCAGGAGATGACAGTGGATGAAGCTGGGGATGTTAAATCAGGGTTTGGAGCTCCAGCCAAGGGTCTCTGGGTGGGACCAGCACTGCCAGCTCAGGCCTTTCTTACAGGCAAAGGCAGGTGGGTGGCTCCAACAGAGAGGAAAAAAGCACAAACTCCTCTCAGAACTTCAAGACATAGCCAGCATTTGAGAACAACCCCAAACTGCTCTGCAGAAGACACCTGGGTCTCTCAGTTCATAAAAAAATCAGGAATAAACTGAAATTCCTTCCCCAAACCACATTACATGAGCATTACCTGCACCTCCAGCATCTCAAGTGCAGACCTGATGCAGATTCCAGGGAAGTGGAGCTTTACTGTCCCCAAAGGACAGCTAGGATAAAAAACCTGGATGATCTGCTGCTCCCAATTCCTAACAAATCAAATCAGACTTCTTTTTCTTAGCCTGGTTTACCCATTTTAATCTTTTTTAGTCCTCTTACTCTGATAAAAAGAAGATTTGAGTGACCAAGTTAAACAAGATGATGCCTTTTAGAGCAGAAAGGGCAAGGAAAGAAGATCCAAGTGGCCAGAAAGGATAAACCTGGAGTTCAAGACCAGCCCTGATATCCAAACAGAGCTCCAACAATGCCTGAAACTTTAATAAATACCTGAAAGGCTGGAGCCAGGCTGGGAGAGCTGGGAATGTTCCCCTGGAGAGGAGA